TAACATTCGAAAATAACTCTACAACTTAGCATTCTATAGTAAAGTAAAAAACAAATAATTATACCTGATATCTGCTGGGCAAAACTGTACTTTTAATTTACAACCTTTTTATTCATAACTGAATGAATTATTAAGTTATAAAATTTAGTTCAAGTCAAGATTTTCATATGAATGTGGAGAGTAAAGCTGAGAATTGGTTAAAAATAGAACTAGGAAATTGTTTTATCCTTCTGTCTGTAGCATTGTCAACAGCTAAATTAATCTAAAGCAACGAATTTTAAATGATATATTTTGAAAAGCTTAATTGTTAGGGATTTTAATACCAGTAAATTGCGAAAAATAAAATAATAATCTGAAATGCTTACCAGTAAATTTGCAATTTTGTAAAAAGATATGTATCATTAATGTAAGCTTTTTTCCCCTTCCGCTGACAATACATGCAATGTTCTTACAATATGTTACTTTAAAGGTTTGGTTTGGTTTATGTGATTACGGCAACGCCTCGAGGGCTATCTGCCTAAGGGAAGGGATGGCTTCGTGGAGGGGAAGGATGGCTTTTCTAAAGGAAACTGGCTCGTATACACGTTACAAATGGAGAAAACTACGTAAATGCCTATGAAGCCAGCCCGTTTCCAGGATTCGAACTTCGGTTCGAACTACCAATGTTCAGCGACTTTATCGCTGGCCGGCTGGTGGTCCCATGTTGCTCTAAAGAGAACATGAAAGTAAATTAGACTAAATTCAACTTGATTTTCGTAGGAAAGAGAACTCGGAAATTTTTTAGTCGTTAGTAAATTTCGTTTTAGTATTCAATATATTCTCAGTGTATGTATTTGTTCTTTGACAAATAAAAATCCTTTATTTCGTACCTGGCAGTTAGTTTATTATGATTAAAAATTTATGTAATTAAAAATTGGGTTAGAAAAAAAAATCTCGTAGAATTTAGTTTTTGTTGTTGAGACTAATCTCGCTTGTCTAATATCAAAACAAGCCCACGAAATTCATCGTGGCAAGGACACAAAATTGCGCCTGTTGTTGGGAAGAGCTTGACTTTGCTCAGTCCCCCCAATTTTGAAATTTTACTCCTTGATTTTGCATTTTATGGAATATGAACTTACATTGTTTTCAGAAAAATTATTAGCTTTACATCCGATTTTGCTGTTGAGATATTTTAGAGGCAAAAACTATAATTTATATCAATGATGTTACACTGAAATTCAACTTGACGTTCTAATACATCAAAGCACACTTTCAAGTACTGAATTCAAGACACTGTCGTATAAAAATTGCGCATTCGTTTCCGTAATATTTGTAAAATCCTGATTTCAAAAACTGGAATGATAATAATTACGGAATTTTTACGAAAAGGTATTTTCTGCCTCCTTCCAGCATGCCTTCGTGGTGTGCCACTCGGCGCGTATTCGAGAGTTCCAGAGTTCAAGTCCCCGCGAGGGCATTGCACATTTTTCACTTCTCCTGCTTCAAAATAACTGAAGACTCTACAAGTAATGTTCGAACGAAAAGGTGGTTGACAATAATTCGACACCACCAGGATTTGGCGATTGGGTCTCCTAATTCCCAGTATGCAAAAATTATGAATCAATACTAATAAAAAATACTGGCAATCATAACTGTCAAATAGAATACTCTACAAAAGGCCCAGTACAGTGCATCATAATGTAAACTGGTAATTTAATACCATTTATGTGTATAATGCAAACATTCTAAATTACTTAGTACTCTCAAGTTTTATTCTGCACATTACTTAGTATTTAACCAAGTTTCTACTCAAGAATGTTAGTTTTTAGTTTTTTATGTGGTCCAAAGATTGCGCCACATTCTTGGCCTTTATTCATTTTCTTCCTCCTCTTCGCATGCCTTCGTGGTGTAATTGGAAGCAAATTCGACGATTGAAAAAAATAATAATGACTCCGCAATATATATAAAAAACATACCAGATACCATTGACTTGCGTAAGGTTCTGGTTCAGAGAATTGCCCAAGTCCTTGACATCTAATATGAATGATGAAAAACGAATTTGTAATAAAGACCCAAACTGAAGTTTAATATAAGTAGTTATGTCTTATCAAAAACAAAAGTAAAAATTTAATTTATTAAAAAAAAGTAGAGTTTTCCGCAAGGAAAATGGAGGAGGAAATATATTCTAGCATGTATCGCGTGTTCCTAATAACTACCAGACGGATAAATGAAAGTCTGAAACAATTTTGTCAGCAGTTATCTTATTTTACAAAAACTTTTGCTGTGAATTAGGAAATCAGAGTTCGGATAAATTATATTTTGATGCGTTAGTTACACATTTAAATGAACGGTTTTCTCAATATTTTCCAGGTAAAGACTAGTATATGACCAATAATTTTATTATAATTAATTATATTTATTATTAATTTTATTATAATTAATATTTAACATATCACAAACTGCTTTGAAATATATTTTATGTTTATGCTGCACCATCTATATTTTATGTTAAGAAAACATATATTTTCAGCAATTTAAATATTAATAATTGTTGAATAACTTAGCTATTTTTCGGACTATTTGGGCCTACATTAGAACAGTTTTCTTGCAGACACAATTTCCAGCTAATTACCGGTACATCGATTTTAAATTTATTAAATTACTGTTAATTGAAAAAGATCAATAAATTTACAGTCTTATACAAATACAATAAATTGATCGTCAAATTAGAGCTAATTTCATAGAAAACAGTATGCATTTTACAAGAACGTAGTTCAAATCTCTATTTATCGAGAAGCAAATTGTGCTACTCCATTTTTGCTAGAATCCATTGCATATGCAAATAAAGTAAAGATAAATAAAAAATGAAAACGAAAACAAAAACCTGCGATGACATCTCTTAATTCAAAGAAAGGGACGAACAAAACAGTACGACAACAAAGCTTTTAAAAATTTTCATTGGTTACATTGCTTTCACAACCAAACTCATTATTCAGTTTGCAAGGTATATTTTAATTTTAAACCAGTTATATTAATTTCAATGTACTTTCCTATCGATTCTTGTTTCCACATACAACTGTCTACCAGAATGAGGTTTTAGAATCGCTTTGAATGCAAATGAGTTGGGAGTAGTATTTAAATGAAGGTTCAACTTTCTTCGCGAGACAGTATTGATAGGAATATCGACCAGAAGATATCGCACTGTGAACGCCGTTTTCTTGCAACAGCACCCTCAGAGAGCCAGAGTACCAGAGTTTCGACTCGAACTGTTCAAAACCGATTCCACCATGTGGATATCTATGCTCGCAGACCTATGGTTTGCGTTTCGTTGACACAGGAGCCCCGTGCTGCCCGTAGAAGGTGAACACAGGAGCATCTCCAGATGGGGACGAGATGGGTAGAGCAACGTGCTCTTCAGGAGTCTCGTTTTAGTGTAAAAAAAAAAAAAAAAAAAAAAAAAAAAAATATCGGATTCTCATCTGGAGAGAACCTGGTGTGCGGAATACTTCTGCATTTGTGCATGAAAACAGTCGATTTTGGCGAAGGCAGAATAATGGTCTGGGTCGGTATTTCTATCAATGGCCGCATCGACTTGCATATTATCAAGAAGGAAGCACTAACGGCTCAATGATATAGAGATGATATCCTCAGACCTATTTTCGTCTTTTACGCTGCAGCAATCGAGGATGAATTCATTTTCATGGATGATAACGCCGGGCCACATCGTGAGCAGCTAGTAAATAATTTTCGACAAAGGAATCCTTCGAATGAATTGGCCACCATGCTGCCCAGGTGTAAACGGAATAAAGTATATTTGGGACATTTTAGAGGGAAGGGTTGCTAGTCGCGTATCACTCTCAGAAACAATTTAGCCAATTGAAAGCTATATTCTACAAGAGTGGGAGAGAATCCTCCTACTCCCTCACTTATTTTTAGCAATATTGTATGCTACAATGTAACTTGCATGTGTAGCTGCTTCTTGAATACTGTTTACCTTCTTGAAAACATTTTGCTGGCCTGATAATTTTTTACAAAGATTTTTTTTTTCCATATTCGGACATTGCTTCGTAATTGGAATTCTTATGCTTGGATGTGAAATGACGGGAAATGTTATATTCTTTGAAAGACTGCTACGCTTCATTGAAGGACCCACTTTTTATCTTTTACAACTGAAAAAAAATATTTCCATTCCATCATCATTAAAAGCGCGGCACTCTGAATCAACTTTACGTTTTTTAGTAGCCATTTTGGGGCTATAAATATTTTACGAATAACCCAAACAAGCACTAGCTACGCTATACTTTCACCACTGTTCACTATAATTTCACCACTATTCACAATGACGCTATATGTCCACAATCTTTCAACACGCAATCAATAATATTAGAACTCGCGCCAAAAGAAAAAGCTGCTAGATGGAGCTTAAAATGTGCAGTCTGCCACATGTGAGGTCTAATTCACCCATATTGAATTCCCATATGTCTGCTCCACAAGAAAAAGATAACGCTTGTTGGCACTAATCTACAGCTATAACTAACAAATAACTACCGCTTTTAACACTTTACCGATGAAATGCCTGTGTTTGTTATTTCCTTCGATTATGTTTTGTAGAACAGAAATAGAATGTAAAACAGATACCAGCTCTCTGAAAAAAAGGAAGAAAATATAATATTTAAACAAAGTAGAAAAGAAGATGGATACATAATTATGATTTTCTTTGAATTTGCCTCTGACCGGCAATTAAAATTAATTCGCGGGCCAGATAGAACCTTCCTGCGGGCCGGAGTTGGCCTATCCCTGGTCTAAGGGAAACTGGATCGTATTGACGAGTTTCTGTAAGCTCAACGAAGAGGGCGCTCACATCCCGAACACTCAAGAAAATTCCATTTCCGGTATTACTGTGTTTGTTTAGTTGCTGTTGTAAATTTATTTTAGAAGTGTTTAATTTTTTGTTTTATTCTGATCAGAGGAGTATGATAAAAGAAATCGAGTCCGTGTTGGTGTGGCCGTGGGCTTAGAACTAATTTATTATCTAAAATAAAAATGTTTTATTTTCCTAGAAATCCATCACGTAGGCGCCTGTGGGAAACTGCCTTTCGTAGAGAAAACTGGACTGCGAGTAATTCATCTACTCTCTGCAGTAATCATTTTATTATGGGTAGGTACATATTTATAAACATTATATATCATACTAATGGATATGTAAACATATATCATTTTGACAAAAATTATAAAGAATGTATCAGCTGTGTTTGGCGATGCTTTGGCGACGATTTTCTCCTGTTGAGGCTATGTTATTATTACCGGGATACTAATGATTCGTTATGTTTTAAGAATTCACGTATTGTTTTAGAATAACGTATTAACTGGATAAGATATAGAATAACGTATTGTTTGAATAGAATTTTTTTCAGGTTTTAAGCATCTAAGAATTTTTAAATATATTAAAATCTTAAAAAGCTTTACATTCATGTTACCAATTTTAAGAGAAAATATTATTTGCTAATGCATTTTTTCCTGTGTTATATTGGTTTATTTTTGGAATTCAAATGAGTTTCAGTACACAAATTGAAATTTACTGAGCATTTGTGTAATATATTTTAACTGTAATTTTTATTCTTAGTTTGCACATAGTATTGTTTATGAAAAATGCAATATTTTAAGAGAGTACATAGAAATGTATTAGTATATGAAGTATCAAAATAGAAGTTAATACTATTTTTTATTCAGTTTCCAATACTATACATATTTTTTCAGGTAAACCATCTAATGATCCTAATCATCCAGATTATGTGCCTTCAATTTTTAAGCACAAAGTTCAGGACAGACAAACAGAAAAAGAAAAAGTTGCTCGTTTTCAGAAGTTAGCAGAACGTAATAAAATAATTCATCAATCATCTGTTACAGGAAATGAAGGTAAATAAATAAAGGCTTAATTCAAAGCATGGTTATATTCAGTCTAATGTTTTAAATCAGAGTTTCTTAAACTCATACAACCAGCAGCAGTAAGGGGTCGCCAAAAATTTTAGCAGTTTTGATATTTCTTTAACTTATAACTAATAATTTTACAATTACCATATATTTCTACTATAAAATAATGTATTTGAATATATAGATAAAGATAAGACAATACAGAGAAAGAAAACGCATTCTTTTTATAATATCATTTTACTACTTGCTTTGCACGTCATTTCATCTGTTACTTATTTAAAATTTTCACAATGTTCTATGTCTTAAAATTAGAAATTAAAGTTAATGACCTGAAACTGCAATAGTATAATACAGTGCAAGTGAAAACTTTTGACGGTTTTACTCACGCATGTGTCAGATTTGCGCAACGCTTATGGGGTCCCACAAAATGTTTGTAAATATTATAGGGTACAGAGGTCGCGACTGAAAAAAGTTTAAGATGCACTGTATTAAATCAAAAACATCTAATTTTTCAGAATTTTGTAGCTGTATAAGCCTAAAAGCGAAGGGTTATGCTATTTAACAAAGATATATCAAGACCTATGCACAGAATTTAATTTTTCTAAAATCCATTATTGACATTAATTTAACATGTAATTACTAAATCACATTGGTTGACAACAATGTATGCATGTTAATAGTATTTTAAGCTCTATAATGGTATTACGAAATCCCGCATTTTTTCAATTTTTCAGGAGAAAAGTGCTTCTAAAATTCTCAAATATTTTGTTTACTGTACATATAACAATGTTCTATGTCTAATGCTTGTCTAACGAATACTTTTCAATTAAGTCAACAGAAGCCCACTTAAATTTTCTTTCCATTTAATATGTAATTTTAGCTTAATATTTGTAATCTCATAAGTAAGTGATGTATTAATAGAGATAGAATAGCAAATGCACTGAAGCTGAAGTACTTCGAAGTAAATTTACAAATTTTTCAAATAAAGATAAAGATCACTAAAATATTGATTACATAGTAGAAGATGTGGGAAACCTTTTAAGAACTATAAAATTACTTCATAATCCAAACATATCTTTATTGCTTGTCGAATACCCACGATAATTGTTGTCGATTATCCACAATTTGATTAAGACATATTACATTTATAATAGTGAATAGAAGCAGCCAAGCAATTTAATTTGGTAATAATTTTTTCTTCATATTTTTATGTTTTATATATATTAATGTGGTCTTTATATTTTTCTTCCTTATAAAATCTAGGAATATCAAGTATTGAAGCATTTGCAGTGGATCATTGTTGCCAGTTTAAAGATGTAATCACAATGACAGATCTTACAAAAGATGATATTGACAAGTTGGAATCATCGAATAAAGCTTTTGCGGCACATCTTGAAATGCTACGGAAAAATGAAAAGTCTTTTTCATCTGTAATTTTGAATTCACAAAAAATGTGTAATTTTTATACAAAATTTCCAAGCACTCAGTTTTTTCTTAGGCTTTTAACATACATCATGTCTGGCTGGATACCTAAAACAAGAACAGTTTTAGAACATCATGAGCAGCTTTTACTCATGATTATGAAATTACGGTTGGGTTTGCTAAATGAAGATTTAGCATATAGATTCAATATAGGCACTTCAACTGCTAGCCGTATATTTCAAGAATGGATTACGAGAATGGCAGTTGTCTTACTTCCTTTCATTCACTGGCCATCAATGAAAACTGTGAAAAAAAATATGCCAAAATGCTTTATTGAAGGAAATCTTGGACAAGTGTCTTGTATTTTGGATTGCACCGAGATATTTATTGATAAAGCTTTTAATTTGGACGTAAGATCCCAAACATTTTCAAACTATAAACACCACAATACTGTAAAATTTATGATTGCATGTTCTCCAACAGGCTGCGTAACTTTCATTTCCAAATTATATGGAGGAAGAATTTCTGACAAAGAAATAACAAAATTAAGTGGTTTTTTAGATAAGGTAGAAAATGGTACTGTTATTTTAACTGATAGAGGTTTCCAGATCGATGAACTTGTTGCTTCAAAAGGGGCAACAGTAATTATGCCTTCCTCAACAAAAGGCAAGCAACAGTTAGGAGCAGCAGAAGTGAACTCCAGAAAAATATCCAGAGTACGAGTACATATCGAAAGATGTATTGGACGATTAAAAACATACAGAATTTTAAAATGTACTTGGCCTATTTCACTTTTAAAAAATTCAACAGCTGACAAAGTGCTTACTGTAATAAGTGCATTGTGCAATATATCTAGGCCTGAATTAATAAAAATTTAGTCTGCTTATTCTTTTGGTCATTATTTATGAAGTAAAGTACATACTTTAGTTTCCATTAAAATATGATTCTTATATGTTATTTGCTTAACTATATTGCAAAAAAATTGACAGACCCATAAAAACAAAGTAAAATTGAATTATTAAATTCTACTTTGGTTTTATGGATATTCAAGTGCAGTTAACAAGATGGCGGGTATCATGATCTTATTGCTACTTCATACAACATCATTTTTTTTTATTCCATGATTATCTTTTCAAACCAATCAGGATCACTTAGAATTACGCTTCTGCTTATTTAGGAAATGCAATCAAAATATTTAGGCACGGACTGAAAGCTTTCACTTACAGTGCACCATAGAAATAAGTCTACATTAATTCAACATTTGAAAAAGCCTTAAATAGAAAGAAATTAAAGCTAGATTTCTGGTGAATTAGAATGGCAATCATGAGTAACTGCAGACTCCTTTGAAGACTGATTTACTATGGCTTTTGTACCACAGGTACACAAAGGAACACATACTTTTAAAAATTGTATTTTAAAATGTTACACACTTGATATTTAAAAAAAGTTAATGAACACGTTACAAATAACAACAAATGGCATGAAATGTATGCTAATTAACTGCAATATTTCCAAAGCATGTATATAAATCTGCTGAAATTCAGTATAATGTAATCACATTATTTAGATACACCAGGCATCATTTATCATCATGGCATGAGCAACATTACCACTAATCAGAATACAGACAGTAATGAATAAAAAATGTCTCACTTATAGTGCTTCTTTAGAAATAAGTATACATTAATTCATCCTTTGAAAATAAAGCAATTAAAGCTACACTTCTGGTGAATTATAGTTGGAATACTGAGCATAAATAACCACAGGCTTCTTTTTATAGACACAAAATTTTATTTTAAAATGTAATACATTTACATTATAAAAAAGTTCAAAAATACACGTTACAAATAACAAGCACTATGAAATGTATTGTTTGCAATGCTAATTAACTGAAGCGATAACAGTATTTCAAATATCAGCTCTACAATATGAGAATAACTTTTTTTTTTCCTACGCATTGCAAATACATTCAGTTCTTACACAACAAAAACTAAAACTGTCATGAAAACTTGCTGTAACAAATACATCCACTCTTTAGCAACAAAACTGAAGATGGTTATAAAGAAACACTAATCAGAAAGTTAAATTTCAAAAGTGAAAATACACATATATATAATCTTATGAAATTTTACATTTTTATATATATATATGAACATCTAGTAATTACATAAAAGGCTGAGTAGGATATAAAATACCCACTTAGATGTAAATACAAAAATGAATGAGTATCACTAGAGAGACTGCTCGTCATACTTGCAAAAATGATATCTGAAAAGAAGAATCGTAATAATCATTTAATAAAAAAACAATAATCACTCAACATATTTGCAAGAAATACAACAGTTCTTTATTTACATATGAAGTATAACACAGTTATATTCCTATGTGCACTTGCAATGTTTTAAAAGTAAAACTGAAAACTACGTAATTTAACAAAACAGTAAGTCTTAAAAGAAATGTGAATGCAAAAAGGCTTATGATGATGCAATGACAAAACTGCCACTAAACTTATTCTGATGCCAAGCATTAACTTGTGTCATATTTACCAGTGTTTAATGGTTTCATTCTCATTATTATTTGTTGGCTAAATTAAATCAAACTAAAAAATCCCAACATTGAGTTCCAAAAACAGAATGTTGTTAACTGCAAACTGCAAAAAAAAAAAAAAAAGAAAGAAAAAAAAAAAAAAAAAAAAGAAAACAAAAATCTAAAATTGTTCAACTATCACTCAAAAATTATAAGACTGACTCCCAAACAACAGTACAGGTGACAAAATCCTTTAAAAACAACTTAACCTGAAATAAAAATAACACATTCATAGAATAAGTGAATTCAATTAAACAGCATGGAACTGAAATACTGTTTCTTCAAAACACAACATATTAAGAAAGCATTTATGTCTTCATATAGGACGAATAAAACTAACACATTAACAGAATAAATTAAACTTATCTGTAATAAAACTAACACATAACAGAATAAATTAAACTTAGCTGTAATAAAACTAACACATTCATAGAATAAATGAATTTCAATAAACAGCATGGAATAGAAATATTTATTCGACGCATACTATTTAAAAAAGGCATTTATGTACTCATATAGAAAGAATTATAGGAGAGCATACCAGGAAGATTTATTTTAATTCCTAAAACTTGTTTAATAATACTACGATAAAAACTATGGATGTCGGAAATCAAAATGTCGCCAAAGTAGCGATAACAAAACAAATATGGCATTTGGTGTATGTAATTATGGCAAAGCACACTAGGGCTATCTGCCTAAGAGGAGGGTTGCCTTCGTGGAGGACTTTCTAAGGGAAACTGGCTCGTATACACGTTATACATGGGGAAAACCACGAAAACGCCCATGCAGCCAGCCCGTTCGCGGGATTCGAACCTCGGACCGAACTACCAGTGTTCAGCGACTTTACCGCTCGGCCGCTGGTGGGCCTAATATGGCATTTGTTGCATTAAAATTATTCTTTATTATTAAATATAGTAATATTCTCCGCTACTAAAAAACAAGAGATTTAATTATAAATAAAACAAAGATGCAAAAACAAAGATAAAGTTAAGCAAAAAATATGGGGCTGAAATGAAAACTTAAAATTAGAAAATATAGCCTGAAAAACTGCAAAACTCCGTAGAGAATCATTATACCGGAAGTGGAATTCACAGTTCCGGTTGAAAGCTTGTTTGTTGTTGTTTACATCGAAAACTTGGTCAATACACGTTAGACATAGGGAAAACCAGGAAAACGCTCATGTAGTCAGGCATTCATCGAGATTTGAACCCCAGACCAAATTACCAGTATTCAGCGACTTTACCGCTTGGCCGGTAGCAAGCATGTTTTCAAATTCAGTCTGAAAAAAAGGACTATACAAAATTTTAATTTAAGCAAGTTAGTTAAAATTTGTGAGACTTGCCTTGTATGTTTCTAGGTATCATGAAAAAATATGACAAAATAAAAATGTTTATAAAAAATTTAATGTAATATTACTTTTGATTCTGTCATTCCTTACGAAATACATATCAGGAAATCTTCCTTGTTGTTTTTGTTTCGAATGCAATGTGTGTTACACAACGACACGAAATAATGATCAAATTACAATAGTTAGTAAAGTTAAAATAATTTACGAAGACAAAAGTTTTAATTCATATATAAATACTAATACAACGCGAGTAAATATAATAAAACAATGCAAGGGAAAAAAACACCTTGACCGATGAAAAAGTTACGAAGCATCTATTTCTATATCATTGAAAAACAGATAAACTTGTTATTGTTCATAGCAAATATAACTCAACATTGAAATAACTGATATCATATGTAAGACAGACACTTTACAATAAGCCCGGAAGAACGTTCGAAATCGTATTTCCTTTCGATTCTAAGTAAGATTGAATATCACGTGAGGAAGGATATATTCGTCCTTGAAGGCTATCAAGGACAATTCGCTTTTTAAGAGACAGAAAACCCACGAAATATTTTTACTCGATATATGTGTTCTAATTACTTGAGATTCCATTTCTCTCATCCTCATGTAAATGTTATCATTGCAGGTAAACGAGAATCACAGGATAGGAAAAAAATACTGTATTTCTAAACCGATTAAATGCTTCGTTAAGTCCAAGAATGCAATACATTTATGTTTTGGAAATGTTTCTTTACAATGACCTCTAACTTTAGTTAATATTACTTAGATATTTCCAATGGCGAAAGATATAACGAAATCTCATCTCATTAGTTTTTCTTAAATTCTTTTGCGCTGTTGCCATTTTGTAGAAATGAATGATATAAAAAGGGCTTGTGCTTATTTTACCTAATTAATTTTCTGAAAGATTACAAACACTAAAATTAACACAATAATACTATAGTATGTCACAGAAAAAGCGTTCAATTATACTCCAGAATGTAGTGTCATTTCAGCAAATTGTTCTGTTCTTGATAACTAATATGAATGATTTTTTGTTCCCGTAGAATCAGGAGAATTCTTACAGAGATATTATGTCTAAATTTTTTTAATTCTTTCTATTATTATAGCATAAAAAACTGAAGTATGAACTGTTCCCTCCAATTACTCATCAAAGATATAAACTGGATTTTTTGACACATTGTCGTAAATGTTTAGGATGTTTTTACCCCAGTTAATGTTGTTTTCGAAGGGATAATTATCCACATCGGCAATAGAGATCATTCAAAGAGAATTTTAAAGAGAAATATTCGTCACTGATCCTCACCCAGTGAACATATTTTCTATTTCTGGTAGTATTAAAGTGTATATTGAAATTTAAAATATTCAAATCGTTTCAAGATATACATTATAATGAATTTCTTGAAACGAATTGGAAGACTTTCTCGATCATTTCATTAAGCAAATAAACTTCATTTTAATTTAAATATGTTTACACAATAGATTTGTCTTTAAGTTTTCTAAAATTGTAAAATATACAGAATTTTTTTTTTTTTAATAAAAATAAATTGAAACTTTGTTATGTTTTTTCTTGCAAATAAGATTTTTCTAATCTTAAACAGGCAAAATAAAATGGATGTTCTTCATTTCACTTACAGTGAATTTATCAGAAATCTGAGATAAAGCTTTTAGATCTCTTTGGGAAAGGCAAAAATCTTAATGAAATTGAAGACCGCTCCCCGTCCTCGCACGCAAAACAAAAAAAAATCTAAAAGCTTTCAGATTTTATATTACGCCCAAAAGGCCGTTTTTTTTTTTTTTTTTTTTTTTTTTTTTTTTTTTAATTTACACACATGTACACGTTTCGAGAGCATTTGGGCTAAAATTATTTAAAACCAGCCTATCTTTAGAATTTTCGATAGACAGTCTTGAACGCAAGCGATAAAAATATTTTTCCTGTTCAGTATTGT